CCTGACTCTTTAAATTTTCCTTTCAACCTTGTGTCCACATTAGTTAAGCAAAAGGTTCAGCCTGTATTTTGGTATATATTAGGCTGCTTGCCAGCATTTCTATGTGAAATCTGAATTACTAACAGATGACAGTAATGTTTTAATGCTAATACAGTATGTATGTCCTGAAGACCTTGTACTATTCTTCACAGTCTGTCATATCAGACGTGTGTGTTAGGCTGCAAGCAGTTTCCCCCTTATGCCACTATAAAAATAAATTATGGCCCCATGAACCCCAAGCAAATAAATGTCCTTGCCCCATGTCACACTACAGATGCCCAAAATGGCAAGTATGATTCTTAGTAGTAGTTTGCACTGTCTTTTTGCGGTAGGTGTTTTCACCTGTGGGACAGTGGCCTTGAATACCTTCCTCCAACCCAAGGCACAGAGTAGGGAAGCCCTAAGACCTGTAGAGGTGTACCCTGGGTTGGAGCCAGGCATCTGAGGCCATTATTTTGCAGGATTAGATGTCTAAAGTGCCAGGAATGGCAGGGGCCCAATTCTTTGGGACAGTGGCCCAGGCACCATCTGTCTCTGCCCAGTAAGCACAGATGATCTAGCTTACAAAGACCAGGTCTGTTTGTAACTTAGTGTGCCCTGACATGATTAGATATATTACGGTGTATCCTTTTTCCTATCTTCATTAATGCTGTACATTGCATTGAACATAGAGAAACTAACCAAAGAAACAACTGGACATATATTAAGCGAGTAGTCCTGTTGAATTTCTCTTTCCTTACAACAATAAAGTGCAGATGACTGGCTTCTTTTCTGTTGCACTTGAATACTACCTGTCTTTCCTGAATACAAAGATTTTTACTTCTGTTCCTTTATATGTTAATGTATGTAGTCTATCCATTCTTCTTTTTCCCTTTGGTCACAGAGGATTGTAGTAGCATTTAGTATGTGGGTGGGGCAGGGAGGGTGCTGTGATCCACCCCTGCATGGGGAGGGGGTGTGACTCAGCCCCACAGGAGGACAGAGGCACAGCCCAGCCCTGCAGGCAAGGATTGCCTCATGGAAGGAAGAGGATATGGCCCAGCCCTGGGGCAGGTGAGGGTGCTACGCAAAGGGAAGGGAGCATGGTCCAACTGGGCGACTTGGAGGAAAGGGGGCATGGTTCAGCTACATCTGGCCCCACAGGACTTGGGATTTTGACAGTGCAGAGGGATGGCACTACTGCCACTTCTTCCACCACCAATTTTCCCAACCCATGGGCTGGATTCCAAGGCTCCACAGGCTGCATTTGACCTGTGGGCCAGAAGTTGTGCACCCCGGTATAGACTGACATAACAATTATATCAGTTGATACCAGTACAAGCTATTATAATGTAACCATCACATCTGTAAGCTCCTTTTAAGAATACAAGTGTAACAAAACCATTGCAACTTATACTCTTTACCATATTTTCTTTCCTATGATCTGCACCAAAACTGCCTGGGGAAGACTGGGGTGTACATTCTGTACAAGGACAAGGGTTCCCCATCGGTCTGGAAAGTTGGTGGGTGGGTCGGGACTTGGAGAGAGCACAGAGCAATGACAGCATTATCCGCTGCAGCTCTTGGAGCCTTGACAATTAACACTGTCACCACTTACTCCCTCTTTCCCACCCACCAATCACCAAATTTACAGACCTATTGAGAGGTCCTACCTCCCCAACCAGTACTGGATTGGGCTGGCACTTGCAGGGTCTGACCAACCTCATATGAGGTCCATCCAATCCAGTATGCCTGCTTTGAGCCGTGTGCCAGATTGAACCCCACATGCCAAGTCCAAGACTGCCCACTGTCTCTGGGGCCCTGTGCCTGGTTGATCCCAGCTTGTGGACCCAACATCATTGTGGCTAGATCAGGCCCTGCTGTGTGAATCTCATCCCCCAAGCCCTCAGGCCCTGTGCATGGTCCCTCAGCCCCAGAGCCCAGACCTCAGACCTCAGGTACTTACCTATATTCTAAGGTAAGATCTTTTTTCTTTGTTAGGATGTTTTCGTTAACTTGTATCCCAACAGGTGCATATAGATGCAGCAGTTGTATTGTAACAGCTAACATATGCTCCCAAACAGTATCTTCCTTCCCTTTTTAAAGTGATTAAGTGGTAGATTCAAAGCACAAGCTTTTGTTTTCTAGTTTTCTTGGTGATTTGTTTTTTTTTCCATGTTGGTTTAGGGTCTAAAGAATATTTTGGTCCTTTTCTGTATATCTAGCATCTTGTGTTGGTATGTAGGAGTACATTTAATCACTTGCTGTGGCAGGGGGGATTTAAGTGGTGGGTTGGGCCCCTTGTCCGTCTGCCACCTGCCTCCCCTCTTCCCTCTACCCCTTACCCTCAGTTGTGGCTCTGGCCCCAGCCCTGGCTCTGGTTCCCACACAGTCCCAGGGCCAGAGGTGCTGCTATTGCAGCCATTGCTGTCTGGCCAGGCAGGTGGCTAGAGCCACCATGTCGGGGGTGGGAGGGGCAGAGGTTTTGGAAGATTGGTGGGGGGCATGGCTGTGACTTTGACCTTGAACCCAGATCAGGGCTGGAACCTCAGCAGCCGCCTGTCCCCTCACCTTGTACTTGAATCCAAGACAAAGGTGTTTGTCCCCCAGGTGGAATGGGGTAAAAAAACCTTCTCTTGGATTTGAGTAAACATGGCACTTCAGCTTCTGGACCAAGGGTGAAAGCTTAGCCTGACTTGAAATATTTTGTCAAGTGTCCCTGTGCCAACATCTTTGTTAGTGAAAAGAAAGAAATGTGATTCTTTCC